ACCAATATTTGTGTCTTGAAAATTCAAAAAAAAAAATTTTTTTTTTTTCGTTTGGAAATTTTCAAACATTGATTTTTAACTCTTTTGATGTTTGAAGAAGATGTGATTTTCGCAACTATTTTTACCTTTTGGTGCAATAATAACAGAGCCAACATCTGCATTCAGAGGTGCAACTGAAAACGATGTACCTAAAAAAATGTCTTAGATTTCGGATAAATCAATGGACATACCTCTCCGTTAGGGCGCCTGCCGTAGCACGATAATCAACAAACTCAATTCGTAAATCTGTTCGTTAAGAGCACCAGTGCCTGACTAAGAATTTAATAAATACTTATATACACTCTATTAATTCTGAAGCAAAATTGTTGTTTGTAGGTTACAGTCTTTAAGAGCCACATATATTAACATTAAATTATTACTGATCATTATATGTATATTTTGGAGTTGATAATTAGTCATAGTCATAATATAAATTTCCAATAATTCTAGTAAAATTAAAAAACTGCAATTTATCTACAATGAAGATTTTGTATGTAAAAGTGTGAGTCATTTGTTTTTGTGGTTATATCTTGTATGATAAGGTTCATACATTTTATTAAATAGGGATACTCACAATTTACAGGCAAAAGGTGGTATGAACATGTTGACTGGCATAAGAAGCTGGCATCTAGTTTTAGTTGTTACTGAGGGTTTTTTTTTTTTTTTTTTTGCTACTTTGTTTTGCTTTTCAGGGAACGGGAGTCGTTTGTCAAAGATTTATGCAGACGAGCTGCATTTTTCGAGTTGACGAGATACAGCCTGTTGCAAAGTTTCGTGATTATCTGTTTTCAGGGGATATTGTCACGAAGATTTCTAAATTTAGAAAAAACAAAATTGAAAATTCTCTTTTTATACCTCATAATCTGTTTTTTATTACGTCTACAAATTTTTAATCTTCTTTTAGATTTTTTCCCGAAGTCTACTTGTGAAATAGCGGGGTATTCGACTGGATACGAAAATATGGGTTTACAGAGCTGTTGTACTTGCCATCCTTTTGTACGGCTCAGAGTCATGGACTCCATACAGGTATCATATGTGCAATCTGTGGAGTTAACCTTCAAGATAGGACATCTAACGTAGACCTGTTTAACAGGTGTAATATTGGAAGAATCGAGACTTTTCTCATACAGTCTCAGTTACGGTGGACTGGTCATATCTTGAGAATGTCTGATGACAGGATATCCAAGATCTTAATGTACAGCCAGTTAGATCAGGGCTACAGGAATGTAGGACGCCCATGGCTAAGATACAAAGACAAGCTGAAAAGCAACTTGTCAGCTGTCAATATACCACATAACACCCTTGAGCGCTTAGCGGGAGCGTGTAGAATGGAGATCAACGTGTTTTAGTGGACTCAGCAGCGTGTTTTAGTGGACCAATCTGCTTATCTGAATCATCTTCAAGAAGCGAGAGCAAGATCTAAAAGATCAGCCAATCTAACAGTGATCTCATCTCACAATCCTCACTCTTGCTCCATATGTGGCCTCCTTTGTAAATCACTAGCGAGTCTTAAGTGCCACTTAAGATTATCGCACAAAATTTCATAACTGAATCAATTAAGCTATCAGATCCTCGAAACCGATGGGAGAGTCCATTATATATATATATATATATATATATATATATATATATATATATATATATATATATTATACCAATTTGTGACTGGTAAGGATAATTCCAAGGAGGATATTAATCCAAAGAGAGCTCAATGTAAACTACAGAGCATTATAATAATAATAACTCAAGAAAAAACCTTAAAGACCCATTTCGTTTTTCTTGATTTATTATTATTATTATTATTATTATTATTATTATTATTATTATACTCTGTAGTTTACATTGAGCTCTTTTTGGATTAATACCCTCCTCGAAGAATCTTCTCCATTTTTAAGAACTTTCGATCTGAAGAGATGAATATAAAAATATTCACGAAATAAATTATAACCGAAATGTATCTTTAATTTTTTCTTGAGTTTTATATATATATATATATATATATATATATATATATGTGTGTGTGTGTGTGTGTGTGTGTGTGTGTGTGTGTGTGTGTGTGTGTGTGTAGATAGATAGATAGATAGATAGATAGATAGATAGATAGATAGATAAACGTTTTTGAAAAAGCCTCTAAGATCTTTACTAGTCAGTTATTTTTATTTATTGAATCTTCAGTATTATTTTACATCAACAATGTGTACCTTAAAAGATTCTTTGATCATTTATATGAAAATGTGATAAAATGTTTTAAATTCATTAAGTTTTATTGAAAATAAAATTGTCAAAATTTCCTTTAAAAATGTTTATTATTAGAACATTGCATTTGACTAATTTACAATTAATTTAATGATTCCGTTTGTCTTCATTGCCAAAAACCATTTAAAATATCTTTGACATTTGCACATAGAATGTTTTAAACTTTGCCACTGTTTTATTAAGAAAATTACCAAAAATAAAATTGCGGTCAGATCAAAATGTTTTGATAAAAAATTGTCAATTTCGTGATTTTCCTATTTTTCCATAAAATACAAGAAATACATTTTTCAGTAGAGATATTTCCGTTATGAGACCAGTTCAAGGGTCAAAGTGGATAACGTGCAACAAGTTTATAGTAGTCAGATAATGACACAGAGTGAGTGATTTCACAGGTGAATGTTGCTGACAGCTGAAATTACTACCTCCTTTAAATTTATGGTATGGCGATCAAAAGAATTTCAATATTTTTTTCTACTGTGATGTTTTGAGCTTAAGTACACATACGTGCTAACGAACCATCTGTCACTGATTAATTCCACACCCCACGTAAAAAAAACACGGCTTGAACCAGAATGTTGTTTTGTGACCTTTTTTCGATGTTTCTTTTATTATGAAACATACTGTTAGTGTTATTTTCGGGGTTATCTCAGGCAAATCAACATTTTTTTTTATATCAGTGAGATGAGTAAAATTGTATTTTGTTATTGATGATAATGAATAGGAGAAAAATTACTTTCATAATCTTTCTGATTACCGATGATTATTTATCAATATTTTACCCTTGCAGAAAACCGCAGTTTTATTTTCTGTTTATTTGTCTGTTTTGTAATTTTTACTTTGGAGGTCGAAAGAAAATCAAGTATTTTGAATAGTTGTTTCTTTGAAGCTAAAAACTTTCATTTGAAGAAAGCATAACAGTAAAAAAATAAAAATAAAAATAAAAACTTAAAGAATTCTGTAACCAACCAACGGAAGTCAATTTCAGAGTGGTAACCTTTTTCGTTTATCAATCTTTAGCTTCATATGATGAATATTTCTCCATCGTGAGAATCGAATACCATTCTACCTGAAACGATTTACGAGAAACTGAATTGGTGGGCATTGGCATTGTTTCTTCAACAGAGCCAGAATGACTTAGGTAACCAGACTGCCAACGAATTATTCAATTAAAAAGTCTCTGTACCTGCCAAATAGTTCTCCTAAAACTTTGACTATTTTTCTTTTTTTAATTTTCAGTAAAGGTAAACAATGTATTTTACTCTTTAAAATAAGTACAAATCAAAGTGACCAGATTTTTCTAAAGTGGTGGGAGAGGTATTCGCGTAAAAACATTCGCCTAAATTATTTGATATTTAGGAATGCTTTGTAAATAATTTATGATTTTTTTTATTAATCCAATATTTAGTGGAATTTATGTAAATTTAAAAAATCTGGACGATTTCTACGTTAATACAAATGGAATGTTTATAATATTTTTTTTTTTTTTACTTTTTTTACTTTTCAAATACAAAATCTCCTACTCTATACTTTGGGCATTATTTTATTAGTCTTTTCTCTGCTCTTTCTTTTTATTAATGACAAAAAAGATTTATGATGATAAATATCCACTTTTAAACATGTTACTTTGTTTTTTCAAGAGTCACTTTGCTACCAAAATTTTAACATCCGATTAAGGAGAAAAAAAGGATGATTAGCTTTGCTTAAATTTGCAGATTTACAAACTATGATTTCGTCAAATGAAAGCGAGTAGATTACCTGTCATCGATCGGACCCTAAATTCAATATTTAATTAACAATTGTAGCTGCGTTTTGTTTTTCAGAGGTTTTAATATGCTTTGTAGTTATTTTTATAGCTTATTTTGTTAATATTTCGGTGTTCATTTCTGAATTTTCTGAACCTTATTTATTGGAAGATATAAAAATAAATATAAAAAGAAATCAATAAATAGAATAAAATGCAATGATGCAATGAGACTAGGGTGAGAACTATAAAATATGGATAATGTGCAAAAAGTCAGTGGTTAATGATGACGACAAAAAATAGCTAAAAAACATTCGTTTTTGATATCATAAACAGATTCTAATTCTGAACAATGCTATTTTCACTAAATTAAATTAAATTCATGTGATCAGGTGAAAATAAAATGTTTAAAGGCACATTTTTGTTGATGAATTTTCGATATCAAAATAAATAACTGTAAAATTTGGCATATTAAGAATCAAACCCAAGTACAGTTGGCTAACACATTTCGTTTTTCAGCCTTTATTGGTTTCGAGTTGAATGGTTGCCATCAATTTTACCAGCATTTAAATATAACGTGTTGTTTGATTAATATATAACAATTGCGGGTAGCCAGCGCTTAATGTGGAGTGTGATAAATCGAAAATGCGAACAGAAAATAGGAAACAGTTTCCAATAATATGAAAATAAAAAATCTTGGCAAAATAATTTAACAAGAACCGAGCTAAACAGCAAATAAATGTCTTGTTCTTTGTTAATTATATAAAAGTTTGATAACCTTCTTCAATCATCAACGAACAGTAATAACTTAGCCTAGTTTTCAGCTTTTTAAATAAAGAATATTCTTATTATTATTACTCGATCTATTACTTTCAATTCATAATGGTTTATTCGTTTCTTTTTTCAACAATCTACAAGTTTTGATTTTTTTAACTAACATTTTCTACTTCTTTTTTTTTTACAGGTATTTGTATCAACGTTGGTATCCTGATCTTGGTGATAAAAACGACGCCCAGTGATATACTGATTGGCACTTTCCTCAGTGGAATTAGTTTTATCATCTTCTGTATTGGAGGTGCCATCTCTTACCATTGCGTTAAACAAATGCCATCATCCTACGACAATCCAGAGACGAACTGTACAGATTCCTCATTGTCTATCATTAGCCCTCCAGCTTATTGTGATCCCCCACCATCCTACGAAGAAATAATGGGTGTCCATTATGCAGCTGACAATCCCTCTCTAGTAGTCGATGCTGAAATGGCCGAAACAACCAGCAAATAAAATTATACTAGAGAACTAGACACACTTAAATCAACAGACACTCAAACAAATTGACCTCCCTCAATCATCATAATATATAAACAGCTACGTGGGAATATGTTAGAAATATTTTCCGCCCATGTTTTTAAAATGCTCCCAGCTCTCTGAACGTATGAGAGATTTCATCAGTGCGTACCGATTTAATCACGTCGATTAACTCTGCATGCAACGTTTCCTGAAGAGTGAAAAGACATTTATTCTCCCAAATACATTGAAAAATATACATTTCAGTTTTGGTCAGGAAAATCTATTATTCTGTTTGTCATGTAAAATGTCGATATGTAGTCAGCATTATCAAGAATCTGTCACCTTTAATCTGTTTGAGTTTGAGAATTATCTTGCCTTAAGACGTCACCACAAATTTATATTGAACGTCCCGTAGCGAGCATTTCTTCTAAAATAAGAGAAATTTTCAAGACGAAGGATTTTTTATAATCTGATTTTATGCTATTTTTATTTAAGGATATGTAAGATATTCAGTATTTGCAATGAAAGTATAAAATGTCAACTTTTAAATATCCTAGCGCTTGGATTAAAATTCATCTTTGACTACGTTTTCAATTTAAACTTGAAATTATTGTGTTGGTTTAAGCATTTACCTTAAAAGTGTCTACAGCACTGAAATGACAAGAATTCTGAAATGTTTTGCTAAATTGAATTTTGCTTTTTATAGTCGGAAAATTGAAACTAAATGGTATGAACTTCAGACAACCGAGAGACCAAGTATTTTTTTAAAGTGCTCTGGACAATTATTCATTTATACAAAATGTTTATTAAAATGGGATCATTATTTTTATTATACGATTATATTAATCTGAACTGATTAAATTTCTAGTTTCCTGATCTCCGCATTCCATGTTGTAATTCAGCAATAATTTTCAGGCTTCTTCTAATTCATACAAAAAAAAACTTATTCAAAGAAAATTTCATAAAACCAAATGTCTCGCTTTGATTTTCCCACATTATTCCTACTAGAGTCTAGTAACTAGAGTCTAGTAACTAGAGTCTAGTAACTAGAGTCTAGTAACTAGACTGACTCTAACTCGGTTCGTTACAAAGAGACAAGTAAGAACATCATGCAAGCATTTCAAACAGCAACGTATATGCAGACGAAAGTTAGGCGCCTTCAAAGGGAAATAACTCCACAATTATTCTAAAATAATTAAAATTCCATTTTCTTAAGCTAGAAAACAAAATGGCATTTTATCGTTTCAAAGGTAAAGTTATGCATACATTATCTAGTTTCAATCTTTCATGACCTATTTGCATTTGATACGGACCTTTTCCATCTAGTTATCTCTCTTAACATAACTAATTTTCCTGATATTTTTAAACTAATAATTATAACCGATGCTACAAAAGAAACTCTAATTTAAAATGTTTTTTTTTCACAAATCTATCTTCACGCTTGAAAATAGAGAGATGAATATAATTGAATGAATTAATATTAACACTAAAATTCCCGTGTCTAATCGAAATATTTCCAATGGGTTAGTCATTGAGTCTGTTTTAAGACATTTTTTCATGATTAATTCTGAAGTCATTGGCGAAGACACAGAATATGATTGCTGTTATTTTAAAAAGTGGGATCAATTAAAAATATCAGTATTGTTATTTGACTTTTGCTTGGAACTATTTTGTATGTGAATGGTAAATTAAATCAATTTAAAGAAAAATATTCGCTCTTTCTAATAAATTGAATGAGCGTAAAAACGGAAAAATTAGTTAATAAAAACAATGCTTATTTTGGGTGGTATATATAACCTTTTAATAATTTCCAACAGAGTTGTCTGTCCTTTGTGTCAGCCATGACAATTTGGTTTGACTTTCTTCTTTTTCAGCGCTGAATAGAATCATAGTTTATCACCTTTATTTCGTTTCCTCTACAATCCTGACTCCTGTGAAGAAAGGTTAACACTCACTTTTGTAATACATCATTGTGAGAAGCTCTCCTTAATTTTGACAGAAAAGTCAATGGAATTAGAAAAAAGAAGGTAATTTTCTAATGACAACTTTACGATGCTGGCTACATCATAAGCAGTTCTAAAAACAAGAGGATAAATGTTTTTGAATAAAAATACTAGGCTTCGATATCAAATTATCTACCTAAAAATGTCATTGATTCATAATTAACTGAAGATAAAATATCTAAAAATGTACCTTTGTACTCTGAAAAATTAGTCTTGATTCAAATTTCTAGGATAATTAATTTGGGAATAATTCATGAAAATCTCTCCTTATCATCAACCTACCCCTCTCGATAAATATTTATAATTTCAATAAATCGAGTGTAAATATTTTTGGATTTAAAAAAGTTCTTTATATCTTTTTTTTTTTCTGTATATGCCACAAATATCCGGTTTTAAAAATAAACAAATAAAAATGTATGAACTTCGATGTTTACAAAATTGTTGTATTTTTTTAAAATCTTTTATTCTTTTGTAATTTTGTTACAGCTTTTTTCTTTTCTCAAAAAGAAAAGAAAAATAAACTTTTTCGTGTTTGCTGATGATTATTGTTATCGGTGTTACTGTTATTGTTGTTGCAAGACATTTTTAATAGCTTTAAGGAAAAAGTAACCAAATTGAGAAAAAGTATTTTATTCATGAGGTCTTTGTAAAGACAATGTTAAAAAGTAAAACTGTTATGGTACTTTTTGAAAACAGGAATGGTGTACATGCTTCCTTTGCACTGGTACCATTTTGGTTTACCATAAAGAAATAAAAACAAAAAGATAAGGAAAAAATAAATAAATAAATAAAAGAGGTTCAAAGGTTATCATTCCTAAATGTAGGTAAAGAAAAGGGGATTGTCAAATGAGTCCTTTTGGAACCAATCAAAATAAAGAAGAATTCGGGAATGAATTCTATTGCCTTAAAAAAAAAGTGTTGGGACAAATAGTGACGAGTAGGCAAATGGACCAGACCAGCCGCTGAAAAGAATTTCATCTGCTGTCCCTTACACTAAAGCTGCAGACACCTGAAAATCCCACATCAGAAATCTTTAAGTATAGAAATCGAAAAAAATGCCGTAAGAACTTTTGCCGTTAACAATAAATTTTTTAAAAAATCCAGACGACATGCATTTAACGGATGTCAGAATTCATTGAAAAATACATCCCTACCCCTACCAAAACATAACTAATAACTGATACATCAAAATACACCGATAATGAACTTGCAAACACCCCTTGTCTAGATGAATGGGTTTCTCTGTATCCTTGGAAATGTGAATTATGATTTGTTGCTGTGCCTTTAAAACCCAGTAATTTTAAAAATAGGTTACTCCAAAATTCGCTTGAGGATGAAATGGAACTAATGTCTTTTAATTTAATTACAAAATTAAATTCGAAGCTTTTAGCTTCCATTTTTGAAACATGGTTAGAACTGTGTAGCGAAAAAAAACATATTTATATCAATTAATTTATAATATATATATATATATATATATATATATATATATATATATATATATATATAAAAAATATACAGAAAAATCAGGACATAACAAAAAACATAATATGCATAATTAATTATGAATATGTCCTCAATGGTCTTAAATAGACAAAACGTCCGACGTTTCGGTTTATATTAACATTATCATACATATTCATTGCATATTAAGATTTTTGTTTGTTTTTCTGTATATTTTCTTCATACTGTCGGATCTATATCCATATATTTGCTTATATATATATATATATATATATATATATATATATATATATATATATATAGAAGTATAGGATTGGTATAAATGGAATAAAAATCTCAATAATCAAAAACACTATTCTTAAAAAGATGCTAAGGACTGAAAGACTTTCAACACGGGAACTTTCTCATAGGAACTTATGAACTCTTTGAATATTATTGTATATTTTATTTTGGGGAATATAAATTTTTATCAGTAAGCAATATGTATCTTTGTATTATTACATGCATTTTTTAAGGCCGTAAATTTGTGTGTATTTGGATTACGGACGTTATTCGAACATAACCACCCGTAAACAAGCAAACGCCTATTTTGGTGACTTCCCCATCTCCAAACTAATTCCAGCGAACCCTACAAATGCATCGTCACTTACGGTAGTTCGCAAATCCCTCTGTAGATAGTAGCACCACAATATCTATTTTGCAGCAATGGTTTCATGAGATATATCGCAACAGCTAAAGAACGCATTCTCCTATTAAGCAAATTCAGGGTCCAGTGTGTGTGAATTTCTGGGTATTATAAAACTAATGTCTTCAGCAACCATTTTTTACCAGTGCTCATGTTGCAGTTTTTGCTGTTATCAGTGCATGTTTTTTTACCAGAGCTCATATTACAAATTTCGTTGTTATTATCGCTTTTCTCTGACACTCCTTATTACTGGTTCCCATATTGTATTCATTTCTATGCTTGGTCGGCTCAGGAGATGAGGACAATAGTCCGAATAGTGTGAATAATTTTTTATTGTCTAAATGTTTATGTTATTATTAAGAGGAAAGATCAAAGTATTTTTGGGTATTTTTTTTTCATTTTTTAATCATTCCTAGCACGTCCGAAATTTTCGTTAAAAATTTTCTTTTTTTTTTTTTGAATTCGCAAAATTGACAGATAATCGGTCATGTCAACCGTTTTTTTTTTTTCCATTTTATAAAAAAACTGAAAATCTCAGTTTCAAATTCTTTTAAGAATCAGTTATAATTTTTTCAAAATTTATTTTAAGAAAATTAGAAATCATAAAGTTTATTTAAATTATTTTGAAACAAACATTACTTAGTTTCTGCGCTGAAAAGATGTAGTTTAAAAATAAGACAAAGCAGGCCATAACATTTGGTGTCACTTGATAGATGATGAGTGACGATTTCATCACGTACTGACAGCTTACGTAAGGGAAAGTTACCGTACAGAAGGACAGAAGTGACATAATTATTTAGTTTTAAGTGAACCAACTTATTTAATTTACTCGTTATTTTTAA